TTCACCGGTTGAAATATACCACAAAAAATGGTTCACATTGGTTATGAAAATATTTATTAAAACATGACGCCAACGCGTTAATTAATAATCCGTCGATATAGCACGTCATGATGTACTAAAATATCAGACTTTCTCCTTTTGCAGATTATAATTTATTATCATTTAAGGTTCCATTAATCTGACCGGCGAACATTTGTCTCCTCTCCTGAAGGCATTAATCCTCAATCGAATGTTAAACTGCCACTTCCTATCCATCAATTACAAGGCAGCTTAATCTCAATCCATTAAACTCGAAACAGTCTTCGGCCTCTCCATTTTTGTTAAGTATAGACTGATGAGGTAGAAACAAACTTAAGGTAAAAAACAGATACATTCGTACATGAAAGATCAGAAGGAACGAGTCATTCTCTATCATTTTTTATAATTATTTTTTCTATTGTAATTTAGTTGTTTATTCCAACATGTAAGGGAACCGCGGTGGGCGACTGATAAGGGAGTGTCGATTCGCATTCGCCACGCTGGGTTCTGAGTTCGAATCCCGTCATATCCCATGGAATTTTAATTGAGAAATAAAAAAAATCACCATTTTATCACTATCACCCAACGTTAAATGGTCATTAAGCTCTCCTTTATGATAGTAATTATTTCTCTTTCGTTTTTACTTTCCAAATATTTCATATTAAACTTATTACATGAATCTATAAAAAATGTGACCTCTTCTTATAATGACCTACAATCTTTCAGCCATCAACGGTATACAGAAGTATTGTAGATAGTCACCAATGACAATATTGACTAGTAGAGAGAAGTATCTCTTGTATACTACACTATAAGAAGAAAAATACCTTTAGGTCCTGACAAGCGGATAAGCATAGACCACACTCGTAAAGCTGGGAACAGACTTACCCGATGCTACGCCGTGCGACGCTACCCGATGCTACCCACAATAATCACTATCACAATCGCAACGCATCTTTTGTTCTTAATGCACTATTTTGAGCAAAACCTTGTAATAAATTGTTAGTTAAACTTTATGAGCACAACCATCTAATCAATTGTTTGTTAAACTTAATTGTTTTAAATAAATTCACTAATTTCGTGGTGCGCTTGACCAATTAATACATTACAATTAATTAAGGTTTTTAGTTGAGATGAAAAAAAGCAAATGGCATGAAAAATGGCAAAAGGAGGGAAAACTCATAAAGTGGGGTTGAGATGGGGAGTTGATGTCCGAGTGGATCGAGGTCACGATAGCTCAGGTGATAGAGCAGAGGCGTATCAAGCGGAAGGTCCTGGGTTCGAATCCCTCTCGTGCCATTAGCTTTTTTTCATCTCAACTAAAAACCTTAATTAATTGTAATGTTTTAAATAAAGTTACTCCTAACCATCATAATTAAACAATGTTTATAAACTTACGAATTTTTGATCTCGTTTAATTTGCTTTACATTAAATAACATGTTGTAATTAATATAACAACAAAATTACATGTACTTAGTTTGAAATAAACTACAAAAAATATGAGTGTCCTGTTCTGACGCTGCCCGAAGAAAATGGTGTCATTTTATGAGCAAAACTATGAAATAAATAGTTAATTAAATTTTATGAGCAAAACCGTGTAATAAATTATTCCAATTTTAGTATATGTACCGCCGAAACGAGTGCAATAAATTGTTAGTTAAATTCATTACATCAAAAAATCGTATTCCGGTGTTTTGATTAATTTTCTACCAAAGCATTAAAATTATTTTTTTAAGTCAAAACTAATTAATTTTTAATCAATTTAATTTGGTTTATATTAAAATAAGCATGTTGTAATTAATATAAAGACAATAATACATGTAGTTTGAATAAAAATATGAGTGTCCGGTTCTTTTGTCTTCGACTGTACTGGATGCAACCCGACGAAAATCTGGACAGTGGGGATCGCAGAGCCTCGGGTAGATGTGCACGGGGCTAATGCTTATTACCTTATGGAACAACCTTATGGATTTGCGTCGGGTAGCATCGAGTAGCGTCGCATGGCGTAGCATCGGGTAATTGTGTTCCCGGCTTAATATTCCCTATAGCGAAAAGAATGATCAATGAGATGATTGCTAGCAACGCATTTAAGGTTGTATTTATGAGCTGTACAGAACAGCTTTTTTTATCTGTTTGGGAAATTTAGGGGTGTCAAACTAAAATCACGAAAGATATTAGATTAAATTTTCCGTGGATTGTTCATCCCTCTAGCGTTACCTTTGGTTTGGGGCCCTTCGTACATGGGGAGTAGACATGGAAGATGCACTATTGCATGCAAAAATACTGAGACCTCACCAACCAATGGAAAAAGTTTGGCGATCTTCTTTTTAACCTTCCTTTCCCCATGGAACAAGACTCATCTGACACCCAAGACTAGCCGGGTTCGTTCGAGTTCTCCATAATTGAACGGTGCTCAGCCAGAACATTAGTTGCGTCCACGTGAAAAAACGATAAAAAGAGAAAACAAGCAAATCACCTAGCCCAGTGGTCGGCAAACTGCGGCTCTTTGCCTCCTTGGCTGCGGCTGTTTCACTAAATGTTTAGTGCAGACACGTAGCCAAAAGTATGACAGGTGCAAGAAATGGGATTGTCGATATTTTTAAAGAAAAAATTAATCACGATATACTTATTTACCATGGTATTATTCCTCAGGAGGCTATATGCTATGCTCTATGTGCTTAGACATTTCCTGAAGAAATTGCTCAGCAGGTTCAAAGACTTTAGAAACAACAAAGCGACGCTAGCTTTTGTTTAAAAAAAAACCTCTGAATGCCACAATAAGATAATTTTTTTTTTAATTTTAGGAGGGTTCGCAACAGCAGAGGTCGGGGTGCCGGTGTTTTTGAAAAAAAGCCCATTTGTACGTATGTCGGGTTCGAATGCAGGGCCGCTGGATTCGAACCCGGGACCTTTCCTTACAGTGATGAGCGCCGTGTTAACGCCTAAACCGTTGCGGCCACCGACGCCCCTTTTTTGCCCTTTAATACTGATATTGGCAGCTCTGAAATGCAGTTGCTGGATTTAAAAAATAAAGAATTTTGGAGCTCAAAATTCGAGCGTCTTTAAACGGATTTACATCTATTGGAGAAAAATAGATGTGAATTAAATTGACAGCACATATAGTCTGCTTTGAAAGATCTGGCGAGGGAAGTTATGTTGATTTTTAACACCTGGATGATGATGATCAACTGAAGAAACTAGCGTTTGCTGTTCTTTCCTTATTTGGGTTTTCATATTTATGCGAACAATCATTTTCAAGCATGAACTTTATCAAGAGTAGATTAAAAAATCGGATTATCGATGAGAACTTGGAATCGTTCCTAAGATTAAAAACAACATACAAACCTGACTTATCCCTACTTTCCAGGGAAGTATTTGTAGTTTTTTTAAGGATACCTTTTATATCATTTAAATTGTTTTTTTTTTTTTTAAATAAATATTATCTTTATATAACAATGATACCAAGTTTTATTTAATGTACCGTTAGTTAAACTAAGACATATTCAGCAAATGCAAGCTCGAGAGTGTACTTTTAATTCTAATTATTTCCATAAAAATGTCTAATAAAGCAAAGCTTAAGTTTAAAAAATGGCTCTTTGAATAAACTTCAATTTTGTATTTTTTTTATATTTGGCTCTTTTGGAATGCGAGTTTGCCGAACACTGACCTAGCCCAACATAATCATGTCCAGAAAATAAATGAAAAACTATTCTACACCGATAGTCCAAATTTAAGGATTTTAATATCGGTAGTTTTAGTGATTTTATTTGTTCTAAGGTCACGTTGAACCGTTCAAAGCATTTTCCCCTTCGGATAAGTATACAGTCTTGCATAGGTGCGTTGGGAATTCCTTCTGTCCCTTAGGAGCACGTACTTTGTCGGTCAATGCTTATCTCTCACAAATTCTCATTCAAGGATTCAAAGTTTCCTTGCTATTTCCTTTGATGCAGTATGTTTCTTTTTCTCGAAACGTCACAAGGAAGTTTTTTGATTGTTCATGTCTAACATATTCAAAATGTCGTTTTTTCTAACGTGCTCGCTAATAGAATAAACGACAAAAGGGTTCAGGATCTATCAGCAGAGTAGCAGTCACTTTTTGGCTTCCGTTTAACTTGTTACAAAAATTAACGATTCGCTATTTTAAAAAACTTCAAATTTGAAGTATGAATGTTGTAATAGAACAGATTTTGAGAGATATGTACAACAAAATTGAAACTTTTTGGCCAAAGTTTTGAAAAACTAAAATGACATTGAAAAATCGATCAAATAATGTAAAATTTTAGAGTTTGGTGCTGAAACAGAAAGCTCAAAAATAGATTATTATCCATCAGGTAGGAGTTGAATAAAACAAAAACATGGAAAAAATAACCTGTCGAGCCGAAAAACTTTCGCTACCATCTTAAAAACTTTTTTCAGTGGGGATTCTGTACTAGCAATTTTACATCTAATTATTTATATTAACGTTGTGTATTTTACATTAATATATATATTAGAAATGTTGATGTATATGAAACCCTGATTGTAATTGATACAAATTTTACTGGTAACTTGATTATTCAGAAATCGTGAGATGCGGTCTGGTGTGATGTATATTTCAGAAAAACATTTTCTTTATCGTGCCAACGTTTCGATGTTTATTGAGATCATCTTCAGGGTTCAAAGTGGCACTCTCAACACGACACGCAAGAATGGAACAATTACACAGAAAACAAACACTTTGAGCCCTGAAGATGATTTCAATAACGATCGAAACGTTGGCACTAAAAAGAAAATGTCTTTCTGAAACCTACATCACACCAGACCGCATCTCACGATTTCTGAATAATCATCGATTAACGGTCACTAATCACCATATTTTTACTGGTAACACCTAGTAAGCCATTTGCGTACAATTAAAAAATTTTGTACGCGAATAAAAATAATTTAATTGTGTGTTTCTGAATAGATTGCAGAGATCTAATTTATTTTTCAATCCTTTTAGCCGGTGAGTATCCAGCGGCAATGCAGCACGGAGAACACGGTTCAGCATCAGTCTACAGCATCTGCCTCCCGCTATTAGTCATCGTCCTCAGCGCCGCCATCAGGTGATGGTGATTTTAGTACTCGTCGGCCAAGAAATACGTGTTCCCATCGGATATTCTCACCCGGAGCAAATTCGTTTTGTATAATTTGCCATGTTGAAAATTAATCTGTAGCCCTTTTTGCGGCCAGTCCGTTTTTGAAACCGATTCACATGTTGGAATAGACTTTCTATGTGTTTACATTTTCACTAAGGAGTGTTAGTGTATCTGTTTTAATGAAATACTCAACGTTTTTTAGTCTTTTATTTGTAAACTCATTCTAATTTTTTTAAATTCGATTAAAAGATTGAAACAACTTTGCCCAGATAAAATAATTTTTTTTAGATATAAATAATTGAATGAAAAATAATTGGAAGCAAAGTGTAAAAAGTGTAAAGATTGTATAAAAAAGCACTGCTGTTCTTTTATTTACTTATTTATTTTTAAAGACATAACTGATATAGTGGAAAGAACGTAATATAATGACTATTTGTACATAAAATTATAAATATATACATAAAATTAAGTATAATTTAGCATTATGATTTCTGATGTAGGGATATGGTTGTGAATGGTCAAGAGTCAGAACAAAAGGCCTATTGGTTCTTTGTTGATATATTATAAATGTTTATTTATTCTTTACATAGTTATATAAGAGCCCCAATGTATATTCACTAAGCCACTGTTTACATGTAAATTTTTAAACTATCACTAATTTTCACTTATTCGTTATCTCTTTTCGGCTCTAAATGTGCGGTCGATTCTTTATTGTATGAAAAATAATTTAAAAAACAAAAAAAAACTTTTTTTTTTCATTTATTCATTTGAGACAAAGACCTTTTGTGTAAAATATATGTATGTAATATATGGTGATCGTAAGTATAATAAATAAAATGCCCACAACTTAGCAGTTTATATTAGATAACCCGACATTTAGGCATGACGAATCTGCATTGGGTTGTTGAAATAATCTTATGTAAATAAACTGTCATGTGTAACAATCAGTAGCTATACGTATGAACAAAAAATATATACGTGGTATCATTATACCCCTTGTAATAATATTACGATGATAAATAAATATTTAAAAAAATACGTTTTATTCATTTCTTATCCGGAAATCTCTTTAAAGAATTAATCAAGAAAAAATTTTGAGTATAAACTAATTGAAAACTGATTTATTTTCTATGCCCCTCTTTCTTACGATAGAAATTTGAATGGTTTTTCTGCATGGTGGTTTTTCGGTTTTCTTTAAATAACCTGCTTCCGATGAAACATTTTTTTTTTGGGTGTCCAGCCCCCAACTAAGTCTATATTCTATTTACCCTTTCAAACACTACATTCACACAAATAAATGTATTCATATACACACATCCATATATCCATACAGTACACTCATTCCATTTGGTCGGTGGAGTACATGATATTCATCCACCGACCTATACTCAAACTAATCCAGATTGGGGTCGATGGAGTACTTTTATAAATATTCCGCCATCGACCCCGAACACACACTAATACGCTCTCAACGTTCGAGGGGCGATGATGACGTTTTATTTCGACCTCACCCCTCGCCATTCACGCTAATAAATACATGGACTCAGACAAAATATATAGACACTCAACACATAAGACATATTATATAATAAAAAACCCCAATTTCCCTAAAAAGCGGAACAGGGGACCCAGAAACCCTCTGCAATGTTCTATTACCACTTTCAGATTGGATGGCATGCCTACACGCTCCCTGTAGGGAGCCAAGGCATGATATTTTTTCTGTATGTGGCACACATCGAGTAACCTTTCTCTGCATAGATGAAACTGTTGTTATCGGAAAACAATTGACGTTAAACATTCGACATTTATTTTATTACATCATTGTTTGACTTTAGTTTATGTCTCAATTTATCTAATAAATTTAATTCAATGATGAAACTTCATCAGTATTGGTAATTCGATTTTATTAGCGTAGGATTACTGGTTTTTATCAATAATATAGGTTACCTTTAATATGGAGTTCACACAGGATGTGACAAAGGTTCAACGACCAAATACGACACATTATAAATTGGACTGATAAACCTGAGACTTACTCCACCTGTGCTGGAATTAATTCAAAACACAGTTGCAAAATCAAACGACTCAGAATGATGTATACTATTAAAACACCAAAATGGTCTGCAACCAGGTATATCTGCAGTGCAATGTCAGAAATACATTCAACCTGGTTTGGACTTCCGAGAGGACTACCATATTTTTTATTATTAATCAGAAATTGCATTAATGCAATACACATATATGTTATAAGGAAACAACGGATGTGGGGGCATCGGTTTAGGCGTTGACACGGGGCTCATCACTGTCAGGTAAAGGTCCCGGGTTCGAATCCAGCCGCCTTGCATTCGAACCCGATATAATTAAAAATGGTTTTTTTTTCATAAACACCGGCACCCCGAGGGTTGATATAACCTCTGCTGTTGCGAACCCTCGTAAAAACAATCGTTATCCAGATTGGGGTAGGTCATCAAAGAACCATTTATGATGTATATGTAGGAGCGAAGATCTTGAGGGGTAGATCAGCGACAGGATCGAGCTTGCAGAGAGCATTGCTGCAATTTCAGGAAAGGTAAGAGCGAGGGTGCACAGTGTTAGAAATGTAAGGGTGTGTATACTGAAAGGTAATACAGCTACGATGATTCCGTGAGTTACACCAGAAGGAATACACTGAAGAGAAGAGGTTATGGTTCAGTCAGTTACCTGGAAGAATCAGGCAGTTAGGATTTCAGGATAGCATTAGACTCTGGTGCCTTCGCGATCAGAACTGCTTACGCTCTAAAGATGTTATGGTGTATTGGTGCGTACAATAGGATGAATTGTAGTATAGCACTGTGGAGTGGTAATTATCCAAATTAAATGGGTCTTTCTTTGTCTTTTAGTCTTTTTTGTTTGTTACTCTAAGTTTGGATCGCTTGTAAAGCAGTTTTTTAGCAGACTGAAACGTTTATTTAAATTTGTACGTTTAAGTGTCGTAGGGATTCGATATAAGTCGTTTGTCGAGGTAAGGTTCAAGGTATCGTGCGTGGTAGCAACGAGGATGGGAAGATTATTGAAATATAAAGGAGGGAAAGTTTTTTGTTAAGAGTGAAAATGATGATTTTAGATTTAGTTTCATTTTACTTGACTCTCCATTGGTGGAGCCAGGATTCGGGTATATGTAAGTGATTTTGTAAATTAGAAGCTGTAACGGGGTCTTAACGGAGGTGAGTATTGATGTGTGATTGGCAAAGATAAAGATGAAAGTGTTAGGGTGAGTGGGGAGATCAGCCGTGTAGATTGCGTAAAGGAGGGGAGCGATAACGCTCCCCTGTGGAACACCTGCGAGGATCAGGAAAATAGTGGAAAAAGAAGTTTCGTACAGTTTGAAAGTGACAGCAAGATACGATTTTAGTATCAGAAATAGAGAAGATGGTAGGATGACCTTGAGTTTACACAGAAGCCCGGGTGCCAAACCCTATTAAATGAATGAGACCAGGAAGACTGCTTGACCTCTCCTAAAAAAATGGATTCGGTGGAAAGGAAATTTTGGAGTTTCGACAAGTTCGTTGAAAATATTAGTGGTATGGATTAAGACGTCCCCGTGGGATTTAGTCCATAATCTATCTGTACGTTGTAAAGAGTGAAACGTGTTTTGTACTTAAGAATTTTCTTAGTCGCAATCTATAATGGGTTGGTAATGTGGTAATGTGATACCACTAGGGCCTGTAAAGATATATTGGTATTTAATTGGTGGAAGTAATTTTTATGTACACTGCATATTAGCCAACGCTAGACAATGTGTTATGCGTATTCATTTTGGGGGGAAGGGTGTCGTGAAAAAAGGCCAGAGGCGAAGGCGGGAATTGAACCCACGACCACGGGGCCTACGAGCCGACCACTCGGCTACCGCGGCCCCCAGACTACAGGCTGATGGACTACCAAAAACATTATGAAAAAACGGTATTTTATCGGATTTTCTGACCATCTTGTATTAACAGATGCACTGGATTTAAAACAAAATAATGAAAAATGTAAATTAAATTAAAAAATATATCAGGTGAATTAAAATATTTCAAAACAACCCATTTTGGAATGAATTGTATGATTTTTTTTAACTTTCCAAAGTAAAAAATTGCAGTTATAAAACATCATGCTTCCACGTAAAACATGTTTTGATTGAATATTAAAGCTGTTTCAAGCTAAACTTTACAAGATCAATTAAAATAATTAAAATCATGCAGTGAACTACAAGAAGGATTGGCGTGTCGAAGGATGTCATGCGTTGGTTCTATTGCCGCAGTTAATCACGCGTCAGGCGTTTAGCCGTTTTTATTAGTATGTCTGTGCTGATTGTCTCGTGCAATATTATCTCAAAACAAAAGACATTATGACAGTGATATAATAAATTGCCCAACTTTGTACAAGATAATTACTATTTTGAAACGTCGCATGGAATCGTGTTAGTTTGAACCATGAAGATAGACATTAATTATTAGACTTATCAGAAAATAGCTTTACACCGAAATATTATTTTTTTAACTTCCTTCCAGCCAGTCAATAACTCGTTCGGTAAACAAAAACCAAATGCTAGAACTGATCATCTCTGATAAAGTCGAATCGTTGTAATTGTCAACTTGAAAATGCCTTGAATAAATTACAATATGAAGGTTTCTTGTACAACTAAACACGCGGCGCACTGATCAGACAGACAAAACTACGAGTTCATCACTCAGGATGACAGTTGATAATCAATTTTTTATTTTATTAGTATAAAGCCCCTAAAACATTAACCTAATACTCAAATTCACTAGTTTTCGTGGTCTGCTTCACCAATTAATATCTTTCAATTAATTAAGGTTTTTAGTTGAGATAAAAAATTCAGTGTCACGAGTGGGATTCGAACCCACGACCTTTGGCTAGATACGCCGCTGGATGGAAAATGGCAAAAAGGATGGAAAATTCAAACGGTGGGGTTGAGATAGGAAGTTAGTGTCCGAGTGGATCGAAGTCACGATAGCTCAAGTGGTAGAGCAGCGGCGTATCTTGCCGAAGATCGTGGGTTCGAATCCAAATCGTGACACTGACTTTTTATCTCAACTAAAATCTTAATTAATTGAAAGATATTAATACTCAAATTTTGGATAAAAGTTAATGATAAAATGCAAGAATTAATATATTCCAAAGAGAAGTCGTTTTTTTAATTCCTAAATTATTGGGCATAACGACGTACACAAAATTAACATCTTCCTTTTTCCACGCTCTTTTTTTTCTACTTTAAAAAGTTCGTTTTGAAAATTTACGTTGTTCAAAACCTCACGAAAAAGTATTGGACCTCTGCTTGCTTTTTGCGAGGAGTATCTGACAAAATCAAACAAATTCAAGATATGGATTACTTGGTGTCATACTTCCTGTCGCAACTTAGGACGTCCTCATAGAAATTATTCAGGAATCCTGTGCTGTTATAAGAGAAGAGGAGCACGATGAACTTCGGTTGAAATAATCTGAAAAGTGAATTATCTCCAATAAAGCTGCGACTTATGCTTTGGACGTTTTAATTCAATTTGACATGTAGGATAACTTCCAACTAAGTATTGAAGTCTCATCACAACTCACCCTGTTGATGTAAGCCACTAACTAATATTTACACACCAGAAGACGATTTTTACATAACTTCCCACTTCCAATACCAGTTAAGCCATTTAAAATGAAGCCTACTTATTCTATTCTAATGGAAATTTAGAAATTATAAACGTTATATGAATTTGATGAACATGTAAGGAACATAAAATTCAGTAAATACAGTGCTTTATGTTTAAAGCTGTTTTTAAAATTTAATTAGTAATTAGAGATAAAAGAAGATAATTAATATTGAAATTTCGATTGAATGGAAATTCTCATTCCTTTTCCCATGGCGAAATAAATAGGCTTCGTCGAACAATTTTAATTTACTTTCTCCTTTGATTAAAAATACTTTTTTTCTTGAAAATAATTATAATAAAGACAACAGACCTGTTTTTATTAAAAACCGGGTTTTCAA